GGCGTTGGGGGCTTCCGTGCCAGACCTACTCGCGTGTACCAGGTATGTTATAGTATTTGTGTGTTTTCTGGCCAGTTTAAACTCGTATTATTCGATGCGTGTATTGTTTCACTGTTGTTTCACTGTGGCATCTCGAGGTAGCCAGGTTTGGAGACCCCGATATTAGTCGAGATCACACCTCGACCCGAGGCGAGACATCGAACACCTCAATCAGGAGTTAATGGCGCTAAGTCGATAAATGCTTTGATTTCACTGGTCCGTAGTTCAGAGTTCTGTGAGTTGACGCTTCATGATTTGGTTGCCGCTATGTGCGTCGGTTGGGTGCTCGTAACACGCTGCCGTCCGAAACATTCTGTTGATTTCTCGAGATGAGGACTCATGCTTCTTATTCCATAATCACTTCCCAGACAAAGAAATCACAATTGGCTGCAGCAGCGGCAGCAGCAGTTGCCGCTGGCTCCAGACTGCCTCTCGACGCCGCAGTCCCCACATTCGGCAAGAAGCGACGTCCAAACAAGAAGAAGTCAGATTTGGAGGAAATCTACCCTGATTACCTGATGCAGGCTTTCTACGGTGACAGCCTGCTCTCGGCAGCAACTAGCGATACGAGTTCTGCTGGCGGGATGGGAGGTATCAGCGGCAAGCGAAAACGTCGAAGGCTCTCTTCGACCACTTCTGTGACTGCAAGTAACCGCACGATGTCAGCTGCCTCTACCGATCAATATCAGCCTGGGGAGGCACCCGATCTCAAAAGACCGGTTCGTCAGCATTTATTTACCATATATTGCATGCTCTCTGGTTCCACCACAGATTATCCCTCCCTCTATTTCTGCACACCGATGCGTTGCATTGGTGTTTATTAAATCAGAACTTGACTGTTCATAAACTGGTGTCTGTCTATGCATTCTCCTGATGTGTTGTAATTTGGCACCACATAATCAATAAATCAATGTTTTCATTCTACAAACAACTTGAATTTCCACTATCACTGATTTTAGTGGTTCTTATATCTACAAAAGTGCTACATTTGGTGTGCAACGTCATGATGATTAGCAGCTTTGCTGCATTTGGGAAAGTTGACAAAGTGCCTGATCGAGGTGTGAAGTTTCGGTGAATTCACAGATGCTGCAGCAGTGTTCCTTGAAATGTAACATTTTCAGCGTCACCGTGAGCCATAATTTGGTAGATTGCAGGAGCTTACTTCAGAGATTTCCGAATATCTGAAGAAGCCGGTTACATTGGCATTGCGATTATTTGCAGATTGATGTTTGGGGTGGCTGCGGACAGTCCTTAAAGATTGCCAGTCCTCGGAGTGGATTTGCCTCCCCAATTACGGGTTTGGCCAGTCGACAACAGCTGTGGACCAATGAGTCACCGTTTCATGCCAGCGGTGCTGCAGCCACAGATCTCTTGGAAGATGATACTCTTGGTGACGAGGATGAGTATGGCGAAGACGAGGAAACGGTGGACAGCTTTGATGATGAAGGTCGAGAAGAAGTAGTGAATGAAGTATTCAACGTGCCGTCAGGTTCCGTTGGTGTTGGAGGTGATTTGGTCGAGCCACATCCGCCTCCTTCACCCGTCCAGAAACAAAAGCATCAACAACAACCACAGAATCGGTCTGTCGAACCGACCGTTCAAATGCAAACTAGTAAGCTCCTTTGTGTTTTTTTTTCTCGTGTACCTAATCTGGTATATATTGATCTTACTTAATCTAATCCCTAGGCCTTGATGATGTCAATGATTACATGCTTGTGGACGACTTTCTGAACATGGCCGGTAATTTCGCTAACACGAGTGTCGGTACCCAGGATGCTGCACGTCCAGTTGCAGCACCTTCCGGTGGAGCTGCTCATAGTAGCACCACCTGTTCCGATGCTTTCAACGGTCCAACAACCTTGAAGCACCGCCTCGCTGTTCCACCTGCCCAGGGGCCACTGCCTCTAGGTGCATTCACTGAACAGCCACATAAACGCGCAGAACAGGTTGTGTCTGGAGCGGATCCGAAAACGGAAATCGAATTGGCGCCTAGGGTAAGTGTTGGTGCGCGGCAAGCTGTCTTTTGATTTGCCAGAGGACATACGAATTCACCTATGCTGAGTAATTGTCGTGTAACTTTTCTAGCCCATGCCAGAAGTTGTTTACGAGCAGCACCCTGTTCAAAGCCGTCCCATGTTTGCTGAGGATGTTCAAAATATCGCCTCGCCGAGGCCACAGGATTCACAGCAGACATGTCAGCAGCAACCCGTTGTTGTCGCTGCACAACTCGCTCCAGCAACACCTATCCAACAGCCTCAGTCAGAGCCCCAGGTTCTGCCTGAGTTGAGTGCCCTTGACATCGAGTCCCAATTGATTGAGTTTGAGACGACCGGAGGCGGTGGTAGTAGTGCTAGTGTTGGCCTCGCCTCAGATGGACCTACACCACCACCCCCTCCCACACCACAACCAGCAACAACTCCTAGAACAGAACCTGTGCTATCTCAAGCACTTTCGGCAACCCCTTTTTCACCTTCAATCGAGGGACAGTCTATGGTTGCAGCGTACCCGCCCCGTGGAATTATGTCTCAGCAACAGCGACCCCAGTTGTACCTTCAACAACAACAGCAGCAGAATTACAGTGGGAGTATGGTGGACGCTGGAGTTCCCCCTCCACCACCACCCTATCCCGGATCGAGACCACCGATGGCCTGGCGACAATCGGTTCCTCAAAGGTTCCCTCAATTTCAGTCGCAAGCAGCTTACATGGCGGCTAATCAGCACCAGCAGCATCAACAAATGCAGCAAAGGTTCCAAGCTGCCGTGTATAGGGGTATTTCGCCAAGCATCATGTCGTCCGCTGGACCAGGAGCAATGTCACCAAAGTCACGGCAGTCACCATTTCCAGTTGTGTATGATCAAACACCAATGGCTTCGGACAGTGGAATGTTACCAAATCAGCAGCTAAAGACGATGCTTCGGCAGGGTAAGCTGTTTCCTACTGTGAGTGTTGCTCGCGAAACGGTTCGCTTCACTGTGAACAAGCATTCTTGTCGTTTGTTAGTTGCATCGTTTGCTCTGTGTGTGTGAGACAAGTGCTTTGTAATGTGGTACAGATTTGTGCCATTTCCTCCTTGGCGAATTGAGCAAGCTAATTAAAGGTTTGCATGCGTATTCAGCTCGGCAGCTGCAATAATTCGTGGTTTGACTTAAGGTTCTTTGCTTGAATTTCGGTACAACCTTGAACAGTTTCTATTGGTTTTGACGTGTGTCCAAGCGGTGACAAACCAGTTAACATGCCTACTTTTGTAGACGTGAGTCCCAGACGACCTGGTGACATTCAGTTGGCTGGACAATCTATGCCTCCCGACGGTCTGACCTCTCCCGTAGTCCCAGGCACCTCCACGGTGCTCCCATCGCATGTTGGTGGTATGGAGGGAGATGGCGGTGGTGGTGCAGGTATCGGCAACAGTGGTGGTAACGCTGGCGTTGGTAGCAGCGGAGGAACGCCAACATCTCGTCGCGTGAATTATGAGAAGTGGGAAGACGAGGAACGCCTCGGGCATCGATCGACCATTGCGCCTGTGCTCTATGCCAACGTGGTCCATCCCGAATTGAAGGCTCAGTGGCCAGACGCCCGTGCAAGAGCACGGGAAATTCAAAAGCTCTGGCGTCGCCTGCCATCTGAAAATCGTTCGAAATTTGTGGTGAGTTTGCTCGGTAGCCATGTGGTGATGTGTCACATTCGACACAGCTGTCCCATGTGCCTTCGCTGAACCACCGAATTCAGCGATATTTCTTCGTATCCGCCCCGTTGCATGTGCGATTCCTTTCAGAATCAAGCCCGCGCCAATAAGACTCAATTTCGGGCCAGTTCAAATGCCCTCGCTGCTCGTGGAAACAGTGGGGCCGGCGTTCAAACGCCACACAGCCATTCTCACTCGATGATGCAGACGGGTTGTTCAACGCCTCTTGGCGTCAGCGGTGGAGCTACTCCGCTCCCGCATACCCCAGGAACCACCTCCATCCCACATCCTCCAGGCTCCTTTACCCCCGGGTACCTGCCTCCAAGTACCCCGGGTTCAACTCCTGGTGGTCGTAGTTCCGGTAGTAGTCTAATGGATCAGGGAAGAAGTAGCACACCCATACTGCCTAATTTTGTGCAATCTCCCGTAGCTTCGAGACATTCACAGTCATTTACACAACCTCCACGCCCCTCTCCGCATCCGATGGTACAGGGACAAGCGCTACCTCCACCACCAACTCCGACGCACTCGTCGGCTTCACCGCAGGTGGTGCCTCAGTCACCGCTCCCCAGGATGCTTAATTATGCAGGGGATCAGAGATCTTCGGAGGCAGACCAGAGCTGTATGGCTATGGTACGTTAACCTCTGCTTATTCTAGCTACTTTAAAGGTGGACTTCGACCAACAAATTGTAGTCAACATAGCTTTTGGACAACTGCATGTGAACAGCTAGTTGTTAGGTCGACGTCCCACTGTAGTTGTGGTGATTCATGTTGCCAAACAATCCGTTTGCACTCACCTCTACTCGCCTGCACTTTGGGCATGATGCGGCCTCCGGTGCGGTTTAGACACGCATAATTACGTGAAGTGCATTCAAGTAATTGCATTTGATCTGCGTTTGCTTGCTGCCCGCCAAAGCCACTCAGGAGTTCTTTTGAGATGCGTGCGTCTCTGCTTTGTAACTGCCTGGCCGAAATGCTTTGTAGTTTACTAGCTGCATCGGCTGTTACCTGGAGCAAGAGGTGACCACGTTGAGCGTAACTGTTTGGGGTGGAGGGGGGTGATGTTTTGTTGGAAAAAAACGCGTGTTTAAATGAGCCCTATTAGTTACATCTGCCAACTTTTAAAGACACCTGCATCTCACCTCTCTGACGGAAGCGGCCATCCGATGGAAGCTCCCGGCAGTGGACCGTCATCTCACGTAGCTTCCCAGAGGCCACCGTCATCGGCTGCCGTGGTGGAGGAGCAGATGGTGGAGCCGCCGCCACAAGGGCTCTCGGCTTCTCTCTTCCAACCTCAACCACACCTCCATACCCACGATCCCCCTTCTGTGGCCGCCTCCCAACCCTCCCCGTCGCTATCGCCCAGTTCTGTGCTTGGTGGAACGATGATGCGAAGGGGTGGCCCGACGTCGCTGCCTCCACCGCCCTCCCACACTGCGGAGCCCCCGTCTCCCGCTGCGATGTCTTCCTCGTCGCCATATCAGCACCAACAGGTCACCTCTGTTAATACACCCTTGTCGACGACTCCCGACCAGGTGAGTCTGTTTTATTGATTAATATCAGGGGTTTGGGTAGTATGTCCTTGTAAGTAAATCTCATCTTCAAGTCAATAGTGGACAAACAGCAGTGCGAATAACACGTGGCCTTACGTGTCATACTGTGTGATTCGACAGTGCTGAAATCAGATTGAGCGGATGTGTGTCAATAGAAAGTCGATTCTACTAATCGCATTAGAGATTGGCGAGAATTTATCATTGTCAAGTTTATCACCATCATCACCATGGTAACTGAGGCGCTAACTGCTTACATTCCCATCATTATCAGCTACAACCACTGTCGACCCCGGCGCAGCAGCAACAGGGGTCCTATCTGCCACCTCCACCGCCGCCGCCACCACCACCACCTCCCCCACCACCACCCCCAACCTGGCCCCCCTCGGGCTTCGCAGGCGTCAACTCGCCTCTCACGCCCTCGCACCAGCATCCGCGGTGGTCGCCTGGTGGGCATCCCTCGCCTGTATCTCCTGCGACAACATCTCACCAACACCAGCAGCAGCAGCAGCAGCAGCTCTTCTATCAACAGAGACAACAGCAGGACATGATGCAGCAACAGCCTCAACCGCATCTCATAACATCTCCGCGGCCCATGTCGTCGTATGGGCATGGCCAGATGATGCAACACGTAATGGTCATGCTTAACTAATAGGCCATAAGATAATTGAATCACGCCAATCACGGCCATTTACCTTCGAGTGTAGTTTACCCTGAAATGCGTTCAAGGCTGCGTCTGAAGGCGTACTCTGCCTTTGACAGAGGCGCTGACTTGTCCGGGTTGTGTTCTATCGCTAGTGTAAAAATCCATGTCTTCCAGAGTGATCGTTTACTTCCAAACTCGCAATTAGCTTAAACACTCGATTGCACTTGCCATTTGGTGAACGCATTTAAACGCGTCATTTGGCCGTTCTATTGTCACGGTCGTTGCTCCATCAACGTATTGTCGCCGTTGTGCTACTTTAAACGCATCTAATTGTTGGGGATGTTGTTTTTAGCCCCCAACGCCAATGCCACAGCACTACAACGTGGGACTAGGTGGAGGAGTTCACGGCTTGTCCCTACCGAGTTCTGCCAGTTTGCAGCAGCCACCGCCATCCCCACTGCCCCCACACACAGTGGGTGCTTCCACTGGCGACGTAGAACGTCAGAAGCTTCGAGAAATTCTCGCCAAGAAGGTGAACCAAAAGAAGATAGCTGCTGCAGCACAACAGCACCAGCAGCAGCTGCAGCAGCAGTCCGTGTCCGGTACACCCCCAACTACCTCGTATCAGCAGCACTCGTTGCCGCCACTCCCTCAACAAACCTCACCGCACGCTGCACAACCACAGCCAAATGTACGAAACCCTACGCTAACGTATTCTCACTAGTGATGAGCTGTGCTGTGGTCTAGTGCTTGCTGAAGACTATCATTCTAAAAGTTGTTTCGTTTGATTACGCCCGACGAATTGCATCTCACTCGCTTCTATTGCATCGGTTTAGGTTGTAATCCAGATTTGCGTTTGGTTTTGATCAGCTTCGAGTCTGATTTATTTGCAGGTATCAATGCAGCAAATGCTCCAGCAACAGCAGCAGCAGCAGCATCAGCCTCCGCCGTCATATGCGCCATATACGCCTTCACCTTACTCGCATCAGCGACAGCCAACGCGTGCCTCGCAGCCCTCTGCTCCGCCGCTCTCCCTATCAAGCTCTTCAAGCTGCAGTGGAGGCGGCGGCGGTGGTAGTGCCTTTTTCCCAGGCTCTCCACAGCAGCATTCTGCGCCGTCCTCTTACACCGGTAGCTTCGCACGCAGTTCGCCCTCCTTCGAGTCGAGTTTTGCGATGCAGTCCGCCTCTCGCTGCAGCACCTCGGTCCAGTCGCCGATGGTGTCCACCTCGCCGCCTGTGGTGGCTTCACCGGCCAGCACAACAGTTCCGGCGTCGCTTTGCTCACCCCCTGTCCTTCCTGCCTCGTCGACGACTGTTGGTCATCATCAACATCATCATCATGAAAGTCAAGCCCATCCACCAGCACCGCCACCCCCACCACCACCTCCGCCGCCGTACCAACCCGCAACCCCTTCCGCCTCCATTATGGACTCCTCACTTGTAGGTTGTCTGGACTCGAAGGCAGGAAGCCTTGCCTTGACCATGACAAGAACCTAAACAGAAGCGAGGTCACGGTGTGAGCTTCGCAAAACGAGGGCTGGACTTATGCAACCGCGTGACCACTAAATGTGTCGGGTTATGGAATTTGACGTGAAGAACCATCTTAGTACCACTGCATGTATAGGCCTCTTTTTGCATTAATCGCCCAAACAATGCAAATCATTTGTTAGCACTAGCTGCCAGTCCCTCACCTTCCCAGGTCTGATGCGTCATTGTACGAACTTGCCTTAACTGCTTCACCAACACATCCCACATCGACCGTTAACTAAAATGCAGATCCGAATATTCAAGCCAGAGCACCAAAATGTTGCTCAGGGATGACAGTGTGACGTGAAGGTTTCGCAGTTTATAGACTCGCCATTTATACAACCACAGTACTTTTGAGCGAGAGCTTGCGTGTAGGATGATGCATAGAATTTGAACTCAAGTATTGTTTACTCATAGATTGTACAGAACATTTGCAAACCTCTTTCATGGCGTGTCATGTGTTTCAAAGCAGTAGTGGAGAGTGCCAACATCGTCAACGCATCAGTAACTTAAAGCTCATTGCGTCTACTTGCAGAATGTAGCCTGATATCACTTGTTTTTTTTTAGCAACGCAGTCCTTACCATCCTCACCAATCACAGCTGCCGACACCGGTCAAGTCGTCTGCCCCGTCGTCTGCTGCAGGCATGGAGGAGGCGGGTTTTGAGCCGCCCGTCATCTTCTCGCGTGTCGTCGGCGGTGGTGCAGGCAAGGAGAGACCTCGATTTATTCCCCACCACCATCATCATCACCAGCAGCAACAGCAGCAGCAACAGGAGCAAATTTCAATGGAGGGGGTTGGGGATATGCCGTCTCAAGTGATGTCTAACGTGGCAACAGTGCCACCTCCACAATCGACGCCTCCCACCCACCTCCCTAGGGTGTCCCAACAACAGCAGCCTCAGCCACAGCCACCCCAGCAACAACTAACGCCGCATTCCATGGGTAAGTGGTAGTGTCGTCGTTAGACGTTCCGCGTGGTTGACTGCTGTCGTTACGAGGCTCTATTAAGGTGCCTTCTGCACACCATACTCTCGATTTGGTTGATGCCTATGGACTTGGCCTCACTGAATGGACTTTACTGATTATTTTTAATTCATTACTTGTCATCTAGGCCAGTCCCAGTTTGAGTCTGATTACCGTTGCCACCATCCACGATCGCCGGCTGAGTTGCCGCAACGACTACCACCACCTAAAACTCCACAACAATTTTATGCCGCAGCTACGCATCGTCAGTCTCCCGTACCACCACCGCCACTCACTCCTCAACAGACAACTTCAATGGCCCGCCTGGATGAATGCGCATCAAGCGTGGTGTCCGAGACTGCTTCATCTGGGTGCTATGCTACATTGACGTCGGCTACGGATCACGATGTGGCTAACGATGGTGTGGGTGGCTACGCGGAGTGTCCGGCGCAGTACCTGATCTCAGAGAGTCAGCCAGGTCACTACAGCGTCGGATATTTCAGCCCCGGGTATTCAAGAGTTCGGCAACCGGCACCTGGGTCTTATAACGCTTCGACGACAGGAGGTAGAAGCGATTATCCTCAGTCGATGCCACTGCAACCCTCTGGTTTGTATGAGCAGGCACCAAGACTGCAACCGTCGCCATATATGACACCGCAGAATCCGCAGTATAACCCCTACGGTATGCCACCCCAGTCGCCTTATTCAGGACATCATCCTCCTCCTACTCCTCACCCTGACGTTGCGGGTCACATGCGTCGTGTTGATGGTAAGTAGAGATTTGACGTCTGGCGCGACAACATGCTTATATGTGGGATATGCATGTGATGTTAAACTCTTTTAGACAACTCACCTTGTCTGGATGTGCCGTGGTTTTGCCAGCAGTTGCGTGTTATAGTGAATAGCAATTGACAAGCATGTGTATTGTTCATTTCAGATCAGTCGCCTCATCAAGGAAGTTTGTAGAAATGAGACACATGGTGGCAGCAGACCCATCGTACAAAATACTCTCCATAACACTGCTATTCTTAATCTCCTTTTGCACACTCACCTTTTGGCCCCACCACTACTTGGCTCCTCGATTCTGTAGCATACCTAAAGAGGATAGTGTGTGCACCGCTCTTCCACTGTCTAATCTCTTTCCAATGGCTCGTTTTACACCGACGGACCTCTTTTCCTATATTTTTTGAAAAGTAAATTCTGCTTAGTTGCCTTTTCTGCATTTTATCCTCCAATTGGTGGACACCTGTTTAGTTTGCATTAATCTGCACTGACAAGGCGCAGCGATGAAGCGTGTGACGCGTTGGTGGAAGTCCAGGCGAATTTGTTAGCAATCACCAAGTCGACCACCGTGGAGCGTATGTGAGTGGGCGCACCGTGGTTTGTCCAAATGGAGATTCTGGAAGTAGTTTTTTCGACGGTGCCAACCTCCCGGACGTCTTCATTGAGCGCAGTCTTTGCGGTCGTGGGCAGTGCTCTTGGTGCCTGCATAAAAAACAAAAGACGCAGCATCAGTGGGACATGTGGTGGAGTGTTGCCACTGTGTGATTGCTAGCAATAATGGTTTGTCGAATGTAGGAGCCTAGTCTACACACTTGGGATATTGTGTGATTGTA